TATTTTGATAATTTCACAGTGCAATTAAATTTGCTGAGGTCGTAGCCTTTATTTAATTTATTAGAAAAATTAAATAAGTGAAATTACGTTTAAATATGTGTTCGCATATATATATTAATTGATTTTTAATTGAGATAATGATGAAATAAAATAAATATCTAATTGGGAGTGTTTGGTAACATGGGGTGTTTGGGTTGGAGCCCAAGCCTATTCCATATGGGAATATGACAACTTAAATTTTAATATAAAAGAAAAAAAGTTAATTGTAAAAGGGTGTGAGATTCATTATTTACTTTTTCCTTTGTAAAAGAAAACCCCCACAGCCCCAATTCCTCTCCCACGGCAGTATTCCATTTTGCCCAAAATCAATTCATTTGATTTTTCTTCTTTAATCTTAAAGCTAAGGAAAAATCTAGCAAATCCCTCCTTAGTTCTTTGTGATTGTCTTCGTATAGACTACGTGGGTTCGATCCTACACTTGGGTCGGTAGCAAAAATGTTCATTGACAAATTTGGAGGAGCCTCCAAACGTGCGTATGTTTTCTAAACTCATGATTAATTTTTCTGCAGATTTCTACTTTAATATAAACTGTAAAATTATACCTTTGATCTTGGCTCTTTGGGAACGATCCTTGTATTATAATTTTTGTTTTTCCGCTGCATATATGAACCGTTTCCTAACAATGGTATCATAGCCTAGGGTACCAAATTTTACAGTTTTTATGTGGATGGTTGATAACATGTATTTGATGATATTATATTGCCTTATAAAATCTGCCTTAAAATCATGTTTTAAGAAATTTATTAATCGATTAATTTAATTTGTTGATGATCTGCAAGTTTGGTATATTGGTGATGGATTTTTGGTTGAAATTGGTGTGTATGATTGATTGAAAATCCGTTTGGTGTGTGTATGGTTACTGTATGAACAGATTCGGATCTACAGGTCTGTGTACGCTCGTCGTGGCGATATAACCCATCACCGTAGCGAGCGTTGTTCACGCTGGCGCTGGTAACGAAACCAGCGCTCGCCGCAGCGATCGTCCTTTGGATGAGCACTGTACGAAAATAGTGCTCGTTGCGACGATGGGTTCCATCATAACAACGATTGTCCTTAGAGCGTGGACGTCAGCATAACCAATGCATGCCGTGGCGATCTAACTCATTGCCACAGTGAGCGCACTTCCGAGTACGTAGGGGCTAAAATGTAAAGTTTTAAAACTTTTGGACCAAATAAATCTGTAAATTGTCAGGGGGTAAATGAAAATTAACCCACAAATTTCAAAAATTGATTGTTTTTTAAATGTATGCTTTGTACTTGTTTGTATATTGCATGGTGCCCAGTACATGAGCCTTAGACCTAAGGGTGAATGTTTTAAAATAATTTTTGGGTATGTATGGTTGTATAATTTATTAAATAGGGCATGCGTGTCCTGCCTTTCTCTTCTTCTCAATGTACATTCTCTTCTCATCTCATTCCCCTCAAATTTAAGTCGAGGTTTCTAAATTTATTGATGTAAAGAATTTGTATAATTATTTTATTGTAAATTTAGAATGATGTTTTTGTAATGTAATTAAAGATGGAGCAAAGGACGAGGCAACCATACTTGAAGACTCAAGATATTTTTTACAGGACCCCTAGGTGACCCACCGATTCCTTTAGGCTCGAGGAAATCGGTTTTAGTTGGGCCATGTACCGGCATGTTTTATATTATGTTTAGCATGCATGCTAAAGTTGAATGTTGAATAACATGCCAAACAATGTCATTCTAACAAAGATAATAATTTGATGAGACATTAAATAAAAACCCTCAATTAAAGTATATTAAGTCACGTATGCCTTCCACCATCATGGTTTTAATCAAACCACTGTTCGTCGAAACCTTGTTCGCCAAAGCGAAGGGTACACTTCTACCAGTGGGAGGTTAAAATGCGTTGGAGTTTTCCTTAATGGTGATGGGTCGACTTAAAATGATGGTTTTGCTTGTTCGCCAAAGCGAAGGTTGATAAACACGTCATAGGCATAGTAGAGCAGTACACATGTTATGTGTGCGTGGTGACATGTAGTGTCAACTCTACTGATACCGAGAATCACACTTGAGGACGATGGTTGGAGCCATTGGATTATGTGATTGGCTTGTTGGCTTTTTCACATTTGAGGTTGATAGTGGGAGCTATTAACTGATGTGGATTAAGTTTGTTGGCCTACCTAATCAACTCATTTTGGCTTGTTCACCAAAGCAAAGGTTTAAAATGGGCCGGATAGGATCTCAGTCCACTAGGAACTTCAACGGGCTTTCCCGAGTCAATAGCGAGGGCTATTGACTTGAGTAAAATAGTGGGAGCATCGTTTAATAAATGACCATATTAAATAATAATGAACTTTATAATGACTTTATTTTTTTGCAATTGTAGATTCATCAAAATGAGCATTATGAACCTGTGATCGATAATTGAGAAAGAAAATAGGTTGGATGAATCCAATTTCTCAGATTGGTATCCTAATCTTCGGATTATGCTCAAGTCAGAAAAGAAATTGTATATCCTTGAAAAGCCATACATGGCTGAGCCTGATCCTGATGCCACTTAGGAAGTAAAAGATACTTATCAAAAGTTCCTTNAAATACGTATACGCATGTTTTATACGCAAATTATACGGCTGTCCGTATAATTCGCGCATAATATGCGTTTTTACTAACTTTATTTTGTAAAAGGTTTCTAAAAGTTGGATTTTGTAGCTCATACTTTTAGTAGTTTAAATAAGAAATGATATTTTAAGTTAAATTAAAAAATCAGGAAAAGTGATCGACAAAGCCTGCACCTAGTGACAATGATTTTATGAAATGGCGTCGGTGACATGTTGTTTGGCCGCAATCAGGTCGAAAAGGCAATGGAATCTTTTTGCTTTTTGCAAAGTGAATTTGTAATTTTAACGTTATTTATACAAACTCTTATACAAAAAAAATTTATACAAATTGATAAAACATATAGTAAAGTATACCGTATGGTATTAAAATTCACATAATTTAATATTATATTAATATTATGTAAGTCCTTATATCACGTGATCCTCAAATGATGTATCACTTCACTTTATACAAACTCTCTTTGTACAAATAATTTTATCCTTTGTTATAAGTTACGAAACTCTTACTATTATGTAGATTAAGAGTAATGTCACATGTACAAAGATATTTTACAAATATTTATGTATAAAGTGATGTAACAAAAAATAAATGAAAAAGTGGACACAAAAAGTCAAATTCATTATATTTACTCTTCCATTTATTTTTTGCCACATAAATCTTTATAAAAAATTTTTGCACATCTAACATTAGTGATAGATTAATAGTGCAAGCCCACCCACCAATGGTCGTTGGCTACTATTACATATGTTTTAATTTTAATATTTTTTTATTCAAAAATAATTACAGCTCTTTCATATTGTCAAGGTATAACCAAACATAGGCTAAACGACATGTACCCACTCATAGTTTATTGTAAAAACAATTTGGTACCAAAAAGTTTGGATATGACAAGCACCTACTTTCGGTTAATATTTGTTCGCTAAATTAAATTGTAAGAGGGTAAGATAGTAAATTCAAAAACAAATAAAGGGTGATTATGTCATTTCATCCCTTCCTTCTGCAGTTAAAACCACCTTTCTTCTCTCAACTCTCCATCTTCCACCTTTCTTCTTCAAAGTCGTCATCGCCGCCATTCTTACCGGCTTTTTTTCTTTTTTCCTTCACCTTTTCAGTTGATCTCACCTCCCATCACCATCCTCCTCCATCCCCAGTCAGAATTGACCCATTTTGGCTGGAATTTCCTCTTTCCCGTGACACATCTTCACCCTATCGACAGCCGGATCAAGCCAGAACTAGCCGAATTTCGGCGCTGATGGATGCCGCCCTCACTCCCATCTGAATCCCCACATCACCTTCTCCAAAACCCATGTCCCTCTCACCTCGATTTCCCCGGCCATTTCCCTGCTTGTGTGATTGTGTTTGTTATTGTTGTTGGGTTTGTTCATGGCAAGAGTTTAAATTAAGTGCCAATTTTCGCCCTTCGGTGCAAAGGGGTTTTTTGAAGCTGCAGCTGTAGTTTATTGGTCTTATACTGGTTTTGACATGGTGGCATCTATGGCTAAAGAGACTAAGCATCCTGCAAGGGATATACTGATTGGTTTGGTTGGTTCAATGTCTATGATTATTGTGATTTATTGTTTGATAGCTTTGGCATTGACCATGGTGGTAAAGTATACCCAAATTGATATAAATGCTGCATACTCAGTTGCTTTTGAACAAATTGGCATGAAATGGGCTAAGTATTTGGTGAGTGTTTCCCCAGCCATTTCCCTGCAGTCGACCAAAAATTTTATGGTTTTGAAAACGTCCACCCCTTGTTCGCTTTTTTTTTTTTTTTTTTACTGAATTTGAAATTACCGT